GGAGGGGAGATTGTGTGAGGGACGCCCCCAGCACAGCGGGAGAAGGAGCAGCAGAGAAAAGCAGCAGCAGCAGCAGTGCCGGAGGCGGTTGAGGAGAGCTGCGGCTCAGGGAGAATAGCCCCCCAGGGGAAAACAAACACAAAGCAGCAGTCAAATGTGCGACAGCCGCGAAAACAGTACAAAAAAATATTACAACAGGCCACCCAAGACAAGGGGACCGGCCCGCCCCACGCCACCTCTCAGTCAGTCACAGTCGTTTTTTTTTTTTTGCGTGCTTTGAATCTATTTACTTACTGTTCGCGATTGCATACTTCTGTTGGCCTTTGGTGTCGGTGCCTGTCGCTTGAATACGCCGCTGTGTGCTGCTTCATTCGAGCTGAGGCACCGCGCCTTCCCCGTGCAGATGCATCTAAGACGGTGATGCCTGCGTTTCACATGCCAACACCAATGATTCGCTTCATTCAAGCATCCGGTTGCCTGTGGTGTGCCATTATGAACGGCCTCGTTTGTTACACTATTCCCCACCAGCATCCCGAGTAGCGCAGGCCCAGACGCACACGCACAGATATATAAACAGATCAATAAAATGTTGGTTAGATATATGCACTTTCATACATACGCACACACACACACTTACGGTGCCCTCCTGTCAGAGGGCAATACCCTCACGCACCTCCCGAGCGCACGGCCTGCGCCACACCCGTCCAGTAGCGCCCCGCGTTTGTACTTATGGCGTTCATTGCACGTGACATCACCTCCCCACGCCGCGTCACCAGCGACTCGTATGCCGCCTCAAACTCGCGTGTCTTCTTCTCCGCTTCCGCGCGCAGTGTGTCACGCTTCTGGACCTTTTTGACGTACTTGGGGTTCTCCGCGGAGTTTCGGTTCTTCTTCACGTCGCTTGTTGCGATCTTCTCCGCCTCGATGCGTGTGTCGTTGTACTTTGACACCGCGTGGTCACGCTCCTCCTGCTTCTTGCGTGCGTTCTTCGTCAGCGCCTTGAGGTCCGCCATGGTGTTGGCGACCTGCTTGGAGAAGTCGTCCATGTAGGACGCCAGCGCGTACACCTCCCCTGCGCCGCCGTTGCCGTTGCCGTTGCCGTTGCCGTTGCTGTTTCGTGCTGCTGGCGTGGCAGAGGTGTTGNGATGAGCGCCGACATTCTTGCCGAAGCGGTCGACGCGCTCGCGCAGGCCGGGCGGGAGGTCGCCGAGCGTCAACTGCCGGAGCGCCACCGCAAGGCGCTCGAGCGCGACGTCGACGCCGCGGACGGCGTTGACGTAATCCTTGCTAGCCTCGCTGAGGTCCTTGAGCCCGGACTCCACGTTGTGCACGAGCAGCGCCTGCGGGTCGCTGGCGTCCGATCCACGTCCCATGTCGTTTGTGTGTGGATTTTTTTTTTGCTTTGTTTTGTGACTTTTCCTTGCTTTGCTCCTTCAATCTTTTCTTTGGCCGGGGGTGATTACTTTCCTTCTCGCGGTTGTTGTTTTCGTTTTCCTTCCTTGCTGTGCTGTTGATGCTGCTGGCGATGCCGGCGGGCAGCGCGCGGTTTGGGAGGGGGGCGGGNGGGCGGGCGAGACAGAAGGAAAGAAAGGCACAAGGGGGTGGGGAGGAGAAGGGAGGCGGCCGCACGTCGGCGCCGCTGCTGCACGCCACGCATCTCTCCGCCCACACACACACACACACACAAAGAGAGAGAGAGAGAGAGAGAGAGACTCCTCTGCGCACGCCTAGGCACACATATACATGTGCCTGTGCCTGTGTGTGTGTGTGTGTGTGTGTGGGCACGTTCAACGCTGTTGCTGTTGTTTCCCCCCTTCCATTGCGCATCCTTACACGACGGATGAGACAACCAGTACGAATATGTCGAGTGAGAGAAGAAAACAATGCGCAGAGAGAAAGACGAAAGAAAGAAAGATAATAATAAAAAAAAAAGATGAGAGAGAACAAACAACGAAATGTAGGCGATGGAAACTGGGCGGTGGAGCGAACAACAAAGCACCACGTATCAGCAGCGGCAGGGGCGGCAGATAGGGGGGGGNGACCGCCTCGTGTGTAGTCATTCCTCCTGCTCAGATCAGGCCCTGCACGTACGCGCGCCGTCCCTCCACTCACCATCTCACACGCACTCCTCTCTCTCGCCCAGCATCCTCCCCATGCACGCACACACACATAGAGAGAGGGGGGGGGAGGGAGAGCGCGGGAACAACAACACAACAGCAATAACAGCACCAGCAACCGATGTTGCCAGCGCCGTGGCAAATGAGTCGAAAAGGGGCAAGAGTGGAAGGAAGAAAAGAGACTTGGTCGTTGCTGCAGCAGCTATCGCCAAGAAGCACGCACAAAAGCGAGAGAGAGAGAGAGAGACAGAGAGAGAGTGTGTGTGTGTGAGGGGGAGAAAAAAGAAGAAGGGTCCATGCAACTACAGGCGGCTGAAAAATCAATGCCTGTGTGGATGCAGGAAGGCCGGCACACACAACTCCCCATACTCCAGCAGAACAAAGGAAAAAAAGAAAGAAAGGATAGAGTCGCCTCCCGACTTCTCTCATCCACACGCTCCCTCTTTTCACATTTCTCACACACACACACACACTGGAAAGAGAGAGAGAGAGAGGGAGGGCTCCCCGTTGGATACACATAAAAACAAAAAAACAAGGAAAGGCGTTCACCTCAAACGCCTCGCTCTCACATCCGGTGCGATTCGGCACTCACGCGTCATCTCACACGGCAGGGCTGCACGCCGCTGCGCCCCCCTCGGCACCCTGTCCGACTCAGCCTGGCTGCGCCTTCCCCACCAGAGAGGCATGCAGAAGCACACATCTACACACACACACACATATATATATATATATATAGAGAGAGAGAGAGAGAAGGGAGAAGGGAGGAGGAGGAGGAAGGTGGAAGGAGCAAACGAGCGCTTTCCCCCACCACCCCTGGAGAGTCATATTCCTCCATGCGATACCTGCGCGCCCTCACCACCTCACCTCTCTCTCTCTCTCCCACCGCTGCCGCCGCCT